ATTCTTCCAAGACATCAACCTCAACAAAACACCTTAGTTTTTCGGTTTTTTGTATGAATACTTTATATATTATTTAATCAAATATAATTTTATATATATATTTTTAAAATTTATTAATTTTCTTTAAAAAATCGAATTAAAAAACAAAAATTTAAAAAAAAAAATCAAATTAAAAAATCGTTTTATTTAAAAATAAAATCAAAATTGGTCGTAAATTAGTCTTTGATTTACGACTAATCGACAACAACTGTCGAAGTTACTTAGTTGTAATATTACGACTAAGTAACTACTAATGTTTACGACTCATGAACTACTACATGTATTACGACTACTTAACTACTACCTATATTACGACTAATTAACTACTAAGTAATTTACGACCACGTTACGACTACGAGTGTCACCTCAACTTTACGACTCATGCATTAGTCATAATATTACGACTAGGTTACGACTAATTCTGCATTACGACTAGCGAATAACGACCAATTGGTTTTCGATGTTAATTGGTCGTAATGTTACGACTACGTTACGACTAATTGTGCATTACGACTAGCGAATAACGACCAATTGGTTTTCGATGTTAATTGGTCGTAAATGGCTATTACGACTAATTAACAACCAATAGTGTAGTCGTTAGACACATGTTTTCTTGTAGTGAGCGAATGTATACTAATAATACTAGATTTAAAAAATAAGATAATTCTTACGTATTAGATTGTTATCTTGAACATATATTTTCTTTTAGAAAATTTAAGTGAATTATCTAATTTGTAATTTCTCCATGATTTAGATAATTTTGATTATTTGTCATATTTTTAATAATTTCATATAAAATTTATTCTAAAATAAAAACAAATTTCTATTAAAAATTATATTTTGAGAAAATAAGATACTTCTTATGTATTATATTGTTATCTTGAAAATATATTTTTTAATAGCAATAAAAATTAAGATAGGAAAAATATAATTAAAATAAATTAAAGCAACCATTTGTAAAAATAGATTTTTAATAATATTTTTTCATGTGAGTGTTGTCATTTATAACTAATTTTAAAATATATATTATAACTTATTATATTGATTTGAATTAATAAAATATAGACTAATAATAAATTGTAAGAAAATTATGCCCGCAAGTGCGGGCAAAACACCTAGTATATATATATATGCCCAGCTGGATACCGTAAGGGAATCAGATACGCGCTCCTTCCTTCTCCTTTTTTTGAGAAAATGGAAAAAACCCCAAAATGGAAGAAAATCCAGATATAGATATCAGCTACAAGAGGCGGTGGTGTTCACTCGCCCTTAGGTGAGAGTGGGCAATCTTCAAAGTAAGTTTTGAGCAAGAAAATTAATTTTTTTGAAAAAAATTGTTTCATATAAATGATTGTATCATCAGAATGTACAAGTTAGAGACTTTGTTTAAGAGTTTTGGACATTTTAAAATTTCTAATTATGTTGCTCTAGGAACAATGTTGCTACTCACTTAACATATCAACAAAGTGAAGCTTCCGTTTTGTTCTTTGTTGTTTCTAACTTGCTATTCAATTTTTTTTTTCTTATATATACGAGTCTTTGTCCGTATGTTAATTCAAATACGAAGTATGCACGTCTAAAGATTGTGGACGACATAAAGTTCACAAAACAAAAGCTTGTGGAGAATATTCTTTATTGTTAACGGTTTCAGTTTTGTTTTCCAGATTTACCAAATTATGAAATTATCAAATGAAAACTGTCATCTTTATATAAAGATGGATTATTATGTAGATGTTGTTCATACAAATTATCAAAGAGACCGGACCATTCTTGATTTGGATTTGTACTCATCCGAAGAAAAAAGGTAATAAAAAACAAAAATTTATTGATAGGATAATACTAAAACTATTATTTTGTTATGGCGTTGACTTTTTGTTCAGAATGTCCCTGAAGTGCTTGGAGCTTTATCTTTCCCAGTTCCGGTTAACCTCTCCCCAGGTTTTGGCTAGTGGGGATGGAACAAAGAGTGCCATATATAGTGATTGGTGATGTTTACATACATACATGATACATCATTGTGCAAAAGTACACCCAACTGCAAAGGTAAGTAAACCTCTCTGGTTTTGTCCCCTAGCTAGTTTGTTGATCCCACTCTTATCACAAAGCGTTCTGTTTCTTCTATTAACAGATTGGTCCCAACGTCTCAATCTCTGCAAATGCTCGTGTTGGACCGGGTGTGAGGCTTATCAGCTGTATCATCCTTGACGACGTTGAGATCATGGTATGCCTTCTTTAATGAGTTAAAGAAAAAAACTGGCAAACTTTTGTTGCCAGGGATTGACCATTGAGTGAATTTTTTCACAGGAAAATGCATGCAGTGGTGACCAATGCTATCGTGGAAGCACTAATCCTAAGAGAATTTGATTAGAGAATTCTATTCATGAACTTAACAAGAAATTTTGATTAGAGAATATATGCAAGGCTAATCCTAATATTTAGGAAGTTAAATAGATGATTCATACATATATTGGACAAGTTGAAGACCAAATGATCAGTTGCATATTAATTTACTGCTTGACTTTTTTTGGGCCATAAGTTGTTTGCTCCATTCTCAAGGCCGTAACGAATTTAATCATACGAATATGATTATTATTAAATTTTATTCCAACTTCATCAAATTTCCGGGAAAATATCAACAAATAATTCCACTGAACATGACGAACAACAACTACTGACCAAAGACAATCCGAGTATCAATGTGTCCACTTGTAGTATTCCAGGACGTAGCACGATAATATGGGCTAAATAGCCAGTTTAGTCAAAACACCAACCATGTTTTCAGGATGAAAGAAACTTCTTGTTTTACTTCTTAGGGTTAGGCTCCAAGTTCATCTCTTGAAGGTTGAGCAACAGATCGTTGGAGCTCAGGTACACCTTGTTAGCGGACTGTGCAATGGTCTGAGCAATCTCTCTCGCAGCTTCAATCTTTCTCAGAGTTATGAATGCCTGATTGTTTGCTATAGCTTGTCCGATTAGTTGAGCACTTTTAGCTTCTCCCTGCACAAGTAATCAACACACACACACCTAATCCTTTTAGCAGAGAAACATATCTCTGTGATAATTAAAAATCATCAACAGTCATTTTACCTGTGCACGGATAACAGCACTTCTCTTGTCTTGCTCTGCTTTCTCCACAATGAACTTAGCACGTTCAGCTTCCTGTGCAGCCACTTGTTTAGCTTCGATTGCAGCCGTGAACTCTTTCCCAAAAGTGAGAGTCGTGATGGAGACATCATCGAGAGCAATGTCGAAGTTGGAAGCTCTCTCTGTCAAAATTTTGCGTATCTCTCTGCTCACAGCCTAGAGGAGAGTATAGAAACAGTCAACCATTACGAACAAAGATTGTAGAAGAAGAGGTGTTGAGATACATACTTCTCTCTGAGTGATGAGCTGGCTTGCATTGTACTGAGCCACTATAGCTTTTAGAGTTTCATGGATGATGGAAGGAAGAACCCTTTCACTGTAATTCTCGCCTAAGGTTCGGTAAATATGAGGCAAACGGTCGCCCATGGGACGTGTCAGAACCCTGAGTCCAATTTTCACCTGTGCAACAATAAATAAATAAACACATCAGACACGCAACAACACCCCAATGACACTATGTTATTTTCTGTTCCAAACTTTAATGTAATATATATCCCTAAAGAAAGTATAATATGATGTGTCGTCTCATAGCCAGAAACTCCGATTGAAACAAAGGAAGGATAATGAGAAACAACATATATAATCATCGGCCATCTCTTTTCAAACCAACCATTATCCATACAGTCACACAGATCATATAAGGGATCTACACCAATATCATATAATAATATGCTAAGAGAGCAAATGAAACATATTCTACAGCTCCACTGCCATAAACCATATCTAAAGTTAGAGACATTGTCCTCGAATCCCAGCATAAGCTCAAAAGATAGAATGTGTAGCATGATCCAGAACAGCATTTGGAACAAAAGCATGGATAATATTACAAACACATAACGTACCATCTGAAGATCATGACTACCGGTGGTGCTCTCCACAAGATAGGGTCGTGCACGGACGTCATAGATGATTGGCCTCTCAAACCACGGCAACATGAAATGCGTGCCTTCCGGGTAGACCTGAGTATCCCCAAATCCAAGAGTGAAACTCACACTTAATTCACAGACTCAGATACAAAAAAAAAAAGAAAGAAAACCTTTTCCTTGACACCAGTTAATCGGTTGAACATGACAGCACGGTGTCCACCTTCCACATTGTAGAGACTATTGCTAATGGCATAGACACCGAGTCCACCAATAACGCCCACCTTAAGAAGCGCAGACAGAGCAGGTGATCCAGGAACGTTGGGCACTTTCTTGAAACTCATTTCTGAATAGAGCTACATAACAAAAAAAAAAAAAACCATCACTTAGATTTTCATAGAATTAAGCAGATAATCCAAACATCTAACAACACACCAATAGAAACATGAATTCGAAAAGCTGAAATCGATCGAGCCTTTTAACCATTCTCAAATAGACTCAGTAATCATGGATCGTGGAAACAAACGACAAGAGATAAACGATTCTTCATAAATTGGAGATACAAATGGAGGATTCAAAGAGAGAGAAAGGTACCTTTGCTCAGCTCTTAATCACCGGCTGCGATGTTAGGGTTTACAATGGATCACGATCAGAGCTAGTCTGCGAAGCTTAGGGTTTTAGGACTCAGATTTGACAAATGAATCTATCGCAAATTATCTTCCAAGTGTTATTTGGGTTAAAATTATTAGGCCCATTAATAAAAATATGATTCCTTAGGCCCATTACATCACATCCTACTATGTTAATTGAGAAATGATTTCAATGATTTTGCTCATCTGTGAAAATTTTTAAAATTGTTATAATTTGATTGGTGGATGATTTTTAAATTTTTTCTTTTTTTAATCAAATCTTAAAGATGTAATCTTAGAACCAATTAACAGCAGTTGCCAAATAATTCATATAATCTTGTGCATAATCATTTATAGTATCTAAATGTAGCAATTATGAAAATTATATAACTTTTTCATTTATATTCACTAATAATAATTTATAAATTACATAAACTTATTTTTAAAACATAGTTAATAAAACTAGTTTACTAACTTTTTTTTATATTATAAACGGTAGTAAAAGTAGTATATAATAATTAGGTTTAGAAAACTGGATAGATTATATTTAACGAAACATGTGAGAATTTTGATTTGAAAGATACTTTACATTTAAGTTAAATAATACAGTGAATAAGCAATGTTATGATTGAAAATAATTCTAAGATGAATTTTTAGTATATTAATTGTATGTTTTGTATTAATATTTAAAGATAATAAATATTTGACAAAAAAATGTAAAAACAAAATGATAACGAAAAAAGAAGAGACCATCCAAATTCAAAGCAAAGAGACAAAATAGAGTAGTAAAAAATTAAAGAAACCCTAAATTAATTAGGGTCTCGCCGCATACACCTACTTACAGCAGTCTATGATTTTAATACCAACAAAGAAGATAACGAAAAGAGCACCCGCGATAAGGGTGTGAACATGTTCGACTTGGAGAATAAGAAAAAAGAGGTGAAAACCGGTCACAGCAACACCAGGCCCTAGACTACATAGCTCCACTAATCTTCCCACATGCAATACTCTTGGCAACACCGTGCAAGGATAGAGCAAGTGAAGTCATCGTTATGGATAGAGCAAGTGGTCTATTCTCAAGGGTGCTCAAGACGAGTCTTGGTATCATCCATCGTTATGGATAGAGTAACGGAAGCAAGTGAACTTGTAGTATCCACCACGAACTCAGCCGAAAGAAAGGGGAAGATGGTGGATATTATCCAGTCTATGGAGTATTTTGCCGCCTTCATGATCTCTTTGCAGGGTTCATAGTGTGGGATTATAGTGTAGATGAAGTTGACCACCCTTGAGAATAGACCAGGCGAGGAGTGAGGTGGAGGATCCCGGACTGTATCATTACAGTCGACTCCAAAGCATGAGAAGAATATGCTATGGATCATCTTCGGGAAAGGAAGAACATCTCGACCGTTAATAACTTATTAATGATCATAAAACGAGTTTATATATTATTTAAGATCATCATAGTATATTTCATAGTATACAAATTAGTATAAAATTAATGGTAGCTAATTTTAGAAAATATAATAATTTATTGATTAATTGTTTTTATATTTATATACTACATAAAAATGAATAGAAAACAATTTATAGCAATAAACAGAATGATTTCATATGCATATAAAAATATAGTCGTATCTATAATTATTTATTAATCTCTTGTAATGTATGATTTATAATAATTAGGTTTAGAATGGATTATATTTAACGAAACATGTCAGAACCTTTTTCATTTAAGTCAAATAATATAGTGAATAAAGTAAGGTTATGACTTAAAATAATTCTAAGATGGATTTTTGGTTTATATGTTTTGTTTTACTATTTAGAGATACATATTTTTTTTCTCAAAAAATATGTAAAATATTAGGAAAAAAAAAGCAAAAATTTAATAAAAATAACAAAATGATAACGAGAAAAGAAATAAGAGGCCGGAGAATATGAATATGTGTTGGGGAATTTAATATGATAACATATATAATTCCACAAGCTTTTGTTATTATTAAATATTCGTCTGTTATTTTACATTAAATTTATAGAAACTTTACAACTGATTATCAAACTATTTGAAGTTAAAATTTTTATTCTTAATGTTTCTAATTATTATTTAAAATTTATGATATTATATATTTTTATAATAGTTATAACCAACTAGTACTCTTTTATTTTTGGGAGCATGTGTACGGTTGTCAAGCATGTGTAAAAGGCTTAATGAACAATTATTTGTACTTATTTTCTCTCTTTTTCACATCTGTTTCTTTCTTTCTTTCTTTTTTGTAAAATGTTTTCTTTCTTTTTTTTGTAAAATGTTTTTTTTTTCTTTAAAGGAATTTTTTTCACATATGTTATTACTTTTATTTCATATGCATTGAACGTGCCTTGAAACATTTGGCATATATGGCAATATGATGTGTCAAAATGATAACTATGACATTTCCATGCAATGTGACTCCTGTGGCTGTACATGCCACAATGTGTCACTCTTTGAGTATCCAAATGACAACCTTGAATAATTTGGATAATTTACATCCTACCATAGTTTTTTATTCAAAAATACAAACTTCAATTACTTAGAGATTTAAATGATGTACTAGTTAAATCTTGTCATAATCTCAGTTCAAAAATACATACTAGGAGAAGTTTATAAATTTTTGACTAAAAATCAAATATTTATTGTTGGTAACTTGGTATGTAAACGCAATGCAACCGTAGTAAAACATCAACACGTCCTTTAAATACCATCGTCCTATACAAGTCTCTCAATAACTCCTTATTACAAAAAATGCATAAGCTTTTGTTTTTTTTCTCCGTCGCTTCACTATCAGTTCTCCTCTTCTTCCACGGCAGCGAGGCACGGCAGCAAGAGGTGCCGTTGCCCAACGCATGTCATTTCAACCAGATCAACAGTCTCTCCCCGGCTCATGCCACAAAGTTCGAAGCGGGGCAGATGGAAGTATGGGATCACACAAGCAGCGAGCTCCAGTGTGCTGGTGTGACCGTAACTCGCATCACTCTTCAAGCCAATTCCATTTTCTTGCCATCTTTCTTTACCCCACCTGCCCTCGCCTACGTTGTCCAAGGTATTTCTTTTAGTATACATTATATTGGTGTCAAAAACTAATGGAGTTTTTATTTTTTTTAAATATAATTTATTTTTGTGGTGATTAAATGTATACATGTGTTCCGTTCTAAATGTTTTATTTTCAATTTTTCCAGGAGAAGGAGTGATGGGGACAGTTGCTTCTGGTTGTCCTGAGACTTATGAAGAAGTTGGAGGAGGAGGAGACATGCATCAACGTTTTGAGGACATGCACCAGAAGTTGGAGAATTTCCGACGAGGAGATGTGTTTGCTTCGCTTGCCGGAGTTTCACAGTGGTGGTACAACCGAGGCAATTCAGATGTTGTCATCGTGATGGTTCTTGACGTTACCAACAGAGAAAACCAGCTTGACCAACTCCCTAGGGTAATAACTATCAAATTTATATATATTTACAAAAAAAAAAACTATCAAATTTATATTGCACGCTATCAATATGGGGACTACAATAATAATTATGTGAACCACACATACTGTATGTAGATGTTCCAAATAGCAGGGAGCAAGACGCAACAACAACAACCATTGACTTGGCCATCAGGCAAAAACGCTTTCAGCGGTTTCGACCCTAACATAATCGCAGAAGCATTCAAGATCGACATCGAGACAGCTCAGAAACTACAGAACCAGAAAGACAACAGAGGAAACATAGTCCGAGCAAACGGTCCATTACATTTCATCAGACCCTCGCCACGGCAATGGCAGCAAGATGATAACGGCATTGAAGAGACGTATTGCACGGCGAGGCTTCACGAGAACATAGACGATCCTGAACGTAGCGACTTTTTCAGCACAAGAGCTGGCAGAATCAGCACTCTTAACAGCTTTAATCTCCCTGTTCTACGTTTAGTCAGACTTAACGCCGTTAGAGGCGTTCTCTACAGCGTAAGTGTTTGGTTAGGTCCACTAATTCTAGAGTGTTAGTATACAAATTTCCTTTAACGTTTTATTGAATCTTTATGTGTTAATGTAATTATCTTTCTTGTATTAGTATTCAGGTTACTCATTAGTTATTCCATTAAGTTTTTTAGTTTTTTTTTAAGAGTTCTATTGAATCATAATATGTGTTAATGTAATGATATTTTTGTGGAGATAGGGAGGAATGATGTTACCGCACTGGACCGCAAACGCACACACGGTGCTATACGTCACAGGCGGACAAGCCAAGGTACAAGTAGTGGACGACAACGGTCAGTCTGTGTTCAATGCGCAAGTGCAACAAGGAGGGCTTCTTGTGGTTCCACAAGGCTTTGCGGTTGTCAAAACAGCTGGTGAAACAGGGTTTGAGTGGATAGCGTTCAAGACGAACGACAACGCTTACATGAACACTCTCAGCGGTGGAACATCGTACTTGAGAGCAGTTCCTGTCGATGTGATCGAAGCGGCGTATGGAGTGACCGAGGAAGAAGCTAAGCGGGTCAAGTTTAGTCAGCAAGAGACAATGTTGGCTATGACACTAAGGTCTTAAGCTTTTGTCTTTGTTTCTTTGATGTTTTTTTTTAGATTGTCGAGTTAATGATGTAATAAGAAGGGACTTTCACAAAAGTTTCAGTGACAAGTATTTTAGTTTATTACTAAAAGTGTTGCGAGTAAACAGAGACAACATCATTACATGTATTAAGAAGGACATGGATCCAAAAAAGCACAACATACCAGAAGCCGCTCATGTGTTATGAGAAGGCAATTGGAAAAGAAAGCAATCAAAAACTTTACCCGGTCACCATTTGTGGCGTGACAGCGTGATTTAGTAGTTGTGAAAATACAAGATTTAACCATTTTGTGAGAAAAAAGTATTGTAATTTTGTGAAGAAAACATGATTTTATTGTTAAAATATTTTATAATATATAATAATAAGTATTTGGATTTTAGATATAAATTTTGCATCTAAACTCTATATTTTGACATATAAAATAAAAAATTAATTTTTATTTATTAAACAAATAAAAAATTATATATGTGAATTTTTGGTCAAAATAGATCCTTTTATATCGGAATTTGAAAATATGCATAGCTTAATTTAGACATAGCTTAAATTAGACATGTTTCAATTGGTGAATCATCTATAAATGTATTTCTATGTCTTTCTTATTTTTAAAATACCTCTATTTCATTATCGAATATGAAAGTTGTTTTTAAACCTTGCTTTCTTGGTTTCATTATGCTCACAGTTCTTCTGTTTGGTTTGTATTTTCATTTATAATCTTATTAATATATTATATAATCATTCTAAAATATTTTTTATTTGTTGCAATTTATTTTATATACCTACATAAATTGTATATTCGATTCTATAATACTGAATTTAATGATTTTTCAGGAATAATTAATGATTAAGAAACACGATATTACGACTTTCAGTTTTTCCTCTTTAAATATGCAGAAAACTGTATAAATATAAGTTTTACAATAAAATATTTTTTATTTTAAATATGAAAACTGAGGTTATGTTTTAATTATTATAATAACAGGAGAAATGGTGATTGCTCAGAAAAAAGGAAATGGTGATAACCAATGTCACGAAACATTACAATACAAAGATGGAAAATGTGTTGCCAACAAGTGTCAAGCTGCATGTGCCAAAAGGCATAAACAAGCGATGGGTAGTTGCACAACTGATACAGACAAAAAAATGCTATGCGTGTGTACTTATATTTGCCCTCGCTGATTTTTTATCTACACTAAACTCAAATAATTTTAATAATAATACCTTTGCCAAAGAAAGAATAAAAGTTCTAACAAATTGTTACTTGTGTTTTGGCATAATAAGGTGTACTATGTTATTGAATATAAATATTAAAAAAAAGAAATATTGATACGTGTGTCTCCTTTTTTGTACAATTGGGTAAATTAACAAAAAGAAATCTTCATTGGAATTTTTGGTTATTTTTGAATGCCCTTTTTCGAAAAAAAAAAAATTGTTATTTTTATATAATAATTCAAATAAAAAGTGGTAAAAAAGCTTCACACACGTCTTTCTCCGATGTCATTCGAGGAAAAAGAAGAGAAGGATACATTCGAACATACACTTCTCGTGGTACGTGAACTCTCCACTTGATTTCAATGTGGCATTTTCAGACCACGAGAAGTATGTGAGGAGGGAGAAAGAGAAGAAGACGAGTGAGAGCTATGATCATATCGAATTTTATTTTGTGGAGATAGGGAGGAATGATGTTGCCGCATTGGACCGCAAAACACACACACAGTGCGATACGTCACAAGCGGCTACGTGGCTGTAAAAACCGCTGGTGAAACATGGTTTGAGTGGATAGCGTTCAAGACAACCGACAACGCTTACATGAACACACTCAGCCGCGGAACATCGTACTTGAGAGCGGTTCCCGTGGATGTGATCAAAGCGGCGTATGGAGTTACAGAGGAAGAAGCCAAGCGGGTCAAGTTTAGCCAGCAAGAGACAATGTTGGCTATGACACTAAGCTCTTAAGCTTTTGTTTTTGTTTCTAAGATGTTTTTTTTTAGATTTTCGAGTTAATGATGTAATAAGAAGGGACTTTCACAAAAGTTTCAGTTACAAGTATTTTAGTTTATTACTACAAGTGTTGCGAGTAAACAGAGACAACATCATTACATGTATTAAGAAGGACATGGATCCAAAAAAGCACAACATACCAGAAGCCGCTCATGGTGACATTAAAAGGTAAAACCATGATGGTCACCATAAATGTTTTACATCTCTTATTGATCATTTTCTCAGCCCTCAATGCTGATAATGCCATAATGTTAAACTCCGTTTTCCCTTGAAACATAGAGTCCCTTCTTCTCGGTCGAAGGTACCTCGACATTTCTAAAAATTCAAGTTACCCCGATAATGAGCAACCAATCATTCCAAGAAATACTTTGTATCATTTTTATGTAACACGAACAAGTCACCACACATGTCCATGTCTCAGACACGATGGTCACATTTGGAGGTGGCTTGCGACTTATTCTGCAACTATAACACACGGTTTTTTCAACAATTATTACCCCCCCCCCCCCACATAAGAGACACGATGCTGATGCTCTAACTAGATCCTCGACAATTTCGTGAGCGCAAGACAACACAAGGCCCAAAAGTCCAAAGTGTGAGTTCCCTATACCCCTGACAATAAAAATTCTAAAATTCAACACAATTTTGGAGTCAAAGCATGGTTTAACAGTTTTCGTGAAAATATATAATTTAACTGTTTTAGGAGAAAAACGTGATTGCAATTTTGAAAAGAAAATGTGATTTTATTTTTAAATTGTTATATCTAATAAGAATTAATAAAATATTAATTATGTTTTGCATTGAAATGTATTTAAGTATTTGGGTATTAGATATACATTTATAGATATGTCTTTTTCAACTATGAAGCATCCAAACTCTACATTTATAGATATAAAATTACTGAATTAAATTTTTTTATTTATTGAAAAAAAATAGAGATATGATTTTTAGGTCAAACTAGATCCTTTTATATTGGAATTTGAAAAGATCCATAGCTTAAATTAGATATGTCTCAATCGGTGATTCATCTATAAATATATTTCTCTGTTTTCTACTTTTAAAAACATCATCATTCATTATCAAAGATGAAAAATGCGTTTACACTTTCGCTTATTGGTTTCGTTGTGCTCACAGTTCTTCTACTCGGTTTGTATTTACATTTATAACTTTATTAATATTATATAATCATCCAAACTAATTTTTATTTGATTTTGTATTAGTTTATATATCTATATAGATTGAATGTCTAATTATATAATATTGAGTTTAATGATATTTTAAGAATAATCAATGATTTATAAAGAAGATGTTTAGACTTTTAGTTCTTTATTTTTTTCTATGAGTATGCAGAAAATACTCTAAACATATGTTTTACAAAAAAATGAATCATTTTCTATTATATATATATATATAAAAATGGTTATAATTTAATTATTATAATTACAGGAGAAGCTGTGATTGCTCAGAAAGGAGCAGCACCAAAACCTGTTATCGTCCGGCCATGTTATTCAAAATGGAAAAACAAAAAGGGAACATGTATACAAAAACTCTGCGAAAGCACCTGTGCCAAAAAGTATAAAGTAACGGGTATTAACGGGTGCTATACAAAAAAAGATGGACAAATGACATGCCAATGTCAATTTCCGTGCCCTCCTTGATTTTTATCAACACTAAAATAATATTTATAACAATACTACACCTTTGTCAAAGCAAAAAAAATGAATTTTAATAAATTCGTGTTGGTGTTTTTTGGCGCTTATAAGGTCTATTATGTTATTGAATATTAATATAAATAACAAATTATGATATGTTTGTCTTCCTTTTTTTTACAATTACATAAGTTAACAAAACAAAAAATTAGAATCAATTGTTAATTTCATCTAAACTGAAATAAAAATGGTAAAAACTTAATTTAGTTACAGCTTTGCAATCTCACAGAGTCAAAATAAAAAAATAAAATTATTGAGTTTTTCTTCTTCTTTTAAGATACTTAGTACTTTTGTTTTCAACTAAGTTTGAAATTCGTAAAATATGAATTAAATAAAACGAGGGAGTATAACATTATAAGAGATTACGGTCACTGTCCGCAACAAACGTCAAAGCTACGTACACGTCTTTAGTTCGAGGAATAAGAAGAGGAGACATTCGAGCATACACGTGAACTCTCCGTCTACAAGATCCCACATCCGGCGGGTACAAATGCGGAGAATGGCTGAGAGATCTATTCGCGGGTTGTTTCATGGATCCTGTCAGGAGAGAGAACTTTGTCGAGCCGTATAGTATCCGTTTTGATTTCAATGTCGGATCACGAGAAGTACGTGAGGAGCGAGAAAGAGAATGAGAAGAGGGAGAGCGATGATCACATTGATATACAATCATAGATCAATGTGTAATAAGATCTGATCACTTGTTAGTAAATGTCACTACTTTTGAGTTACCATGATTCCTGATCTCGTAGTTTATGATCATTTATAAGAAAAATAATGTTTTTTTTTATAAATGTGATTAGAGTTTCTGCTCATGATTTCTCATCTTGGTAGTTTCCTACCTATCTTTAGTCTCCATATATGGTCCAGAATCACAAGTTTGTTCTAACATTCTACTTGAGAGCAGTTCCCGTGGATGTGATGTTTTTAGATTTTCGAGTTAATAATGTAATGTTGAAGGAACTATCACGAAAGTTTTCAGATATTCCCATTGATGGTCTTTCCACCAGGATCCCCAAACACTAGTGTGATTGTTAGCATGAATATCTTCTTCATATTTACTCTTTGGCAGTATCACCTCATGTACAAAACAAATATGTATTAAGAACATCAATCCAAAAAAGCACAACACGATCCAAGAACCCAATCTATCTTCTACATCTTATTCATCATTTTTTTGCCCTTAATGGTGATAATACCATAATGTTAAACTCCTCTTTTCCTTAAAACACTAAAGTCCCTTTTTCTCGGTTGAAGGTAACTCTACATTTCCAAAAATTCAAGTTACCCCGATAATGAGCCAACAAATCATTCCAAGAATTACTTAACTTGTATCGTTTTCGTGTTACACAAACAAGTTACCAAATATGTCCATGCCTCTGCCTCAATGGCCACATCTTGAGGTGGCTTGTGACTTACACATTTTAACGCTAGCTACATGAACTATTCTAACGCTCCTATCAAGTACATAATTATAAGGTACCCTATTACTTAACAATTTTTTTTTTAAACAGGCTTACTTAACAACTTATGACGCGTAAAACAACACATCGCACGACAGTCCAAGGTTTGGGTTTCCTATACCGTACGTGACAATACAATTTCACCTCCATCACGATTTTAGCGTGAAAGCGGGATTACCAGTTTTTATGAAAATATATGGTTGCAATTTTTGCGAGAAAACATAATTTTACTGTTAAAATATGATATAATAATAAAAACTAATGTAAAGATAATTATGTTTTGTATTGAAAGGTATTTAAGTATTTAGGTTTTAAGATATAAGTTTTGCATCCAAGCTCTACAATTTTAGATATAAAATAAAGAACTTAAACTTTGTATTTATTAAAAAAATAAAAAATAGAGATGTGATTTTTCTTTGGGTCAAACAAGATCCTTTTATAACGGAACTTAAAAATATAAATAGCTTAAATTAGACATGTTTCAATTTGTAATTCATCTATAAATGTACTTCTCCGTCTTTCTAATTTTTAAAATACAATTATTTCATTATCAAAGATGAAGATCGCTTTCAAGCTTTGGTTTATTGGTTTCGTTATGCTCACAATTCTTTTGTTCGGTTTGTATTTTCATTTACAACTTTATTAATACATTATATAATCATTCTACAATAACTTTTATTCAACAGTTGATTATATATACCTATATAAATTGTATGTATAATGCTTTAATATTGAGTTTAATGATTTTCCAAGAATAATCAATGATTAAGAGATAAGATATTTAGATTTTCAGTTTTCTTCCCTATAAATATGCAGAAATTCTCTAAATATATGTTTTACAGGTAAAATGATTTTTTATTTAAAATATGAAACTAAGGTTACATTTTAATGTTGATAATAACAGGAGAAATGTCGATTGCTCAGAAAGGAAAAGGTAATCAATGTCGTGAAAATATACCAAACAAAGCTGGAACATGTGAAACGAAAAGCTGTGACGCCGAATGTGTGAAAAGGCATAAAAAAGGGGCTGGTATCTGCGGACAGGATTCAGACAAAAAACCACTATGCGTATGTTATTATTATGGATGCCCCCGCCCCCCGCCCTGATTTTTTATCTACAGTTCAAATAATATTTATAATAATATCATACCTTTGTTAGAGAAAGGAATAAAAGTTATAATAAATTGTTTTTTTTGGTTGAATCAAGTTATAATAAATTGTTGCTGATGTTTTGGCATAATAAAGTGTATTATGTTTCTGAATACAAATATTGATATACTAGGCCCGGCCCGCCCTACGGGCGGGAAGTTATAATCAAAACTAATTATATGAAATTTTATATTGATTTTGTAAAATATTTAAAATCATTATAAACTGAAAGTAATAGTATAAACAAACAAATAACAAAAAGATTTATGATATCATACTGTTATTTTTAATAAATATTTCTGGTTTGAATTAAAAAGATAGTTACCTTCATTATTTTCTATATTTTAGAGAAA